AAATTTGAAGCAATTCCATTTATTGATTATTGGTCTTATATATTGATTTACATTCTCATTTCATTGTTGTGATATATTTTAATATGAATTTCCTTTAAACCAATATTTGCTTACTGATTTGGGTTCAATGTATGTGGTAGGACCACTTCATAGGTAATGTGTTTTCTACTGAGAGGCATACACTGTCCAATCGTCTTTCATTTCGTGATGTAAACTATGCTATGGGATTTCTCTCTCTGGGAGGGCAAGGCAATTTGAAAGTTAGGTTTGGCCAAGCTTGGCTGCCAGTTCCCTCACCCACTCTATGGAATCATGGAACCAGCTTCTTTTATTGAATTTCCAACAATCGCTTACTATTACATTTTCTGTAAGGACCCTTTAATCTCCAAAGTTCTGTCACTCATATTATGCAAGAACTAAGAAATAATTTATACAGGCATTTAGGCTAACACATGACAAATCAAAGTGTTTGATAAGTGCTGGGTTTTGACTATTATCATTTCATTAATAGTAGTATTAATAAATATCTCCTGAAATCCCAAGAGTAACAGTGGCCCACTAYTTCTGTCTTCCTCCTTTTGTGCTTTTAAAAGCCTTATTTTCAATAAACTTCTTTCAAAACAACRACAACAAATGCAAAGATGGGCAAAGACTTTGACAAGACATTTCTACAAAGAAATTAACACTTAGCTCATGAGAATACGTACAACGTCATTAGTCATTAGGGATATGCAAATCAAAACCACAADGAAATAAAACCTCATCCTCATCAGGATAGCTATTTTTAAAAACCCAGAAAACATCATGTGTTGGTGATAATATAGAGAAATTGGAGCCTGTGTACTGCATGTGAGAACGTGAAATGATATAGCCACTGTGGAACATGGTGCAAGAGGTTTTTCCCAAAATTAAACATATAATGTTTAATTTGGGGAATTACATTTCTATGTATTTACCCCAAAGTATGAACAATGGGAACTCAAAGAGATATTTATATACCCATCTTCATAGCAGCATCAATCACAATAATCAAAAGGTAGAAACAACCTAAGCTTCTGTAGATGAATTAATGGATAATCAAATACAGCACATGAGCAAAGAATATCATTCAGCTTCAAAAAGGAAGGAAGTCCTGCAACATTACACAACATGGGTTAATCATAAAACTATTAAGCTAAGTTAAACAGGCCACTCACAAAAAGGCAAATACTATATGATTTTACTTAAGTAAAACAACTAGTGTTTGTGGAAACAGAACGAAGAATGGTGGTTTTCAGTGGCTGAAGAATGGAGAATGAGGAGTTAGTGATTAATGAGTACAGTGTTTCCATTTAAGACAAAGAAAATGTTCAAGTGGTGGGTAGTAGTGATGAGTGCACAACAATGTGAAAGTAATTAATGCTACTGAATTATACAATTAAAAATGGTTAAAATGYTCAATTTCATGTTATGTGTATTTTACTACCAGTTTTTTTTAAAGAGAGAGAGAGAGAATTTTAATCTTTTATTTTTTAGTTTTCAACAGGCACAACATCTTTGTATGTGGTGCTGAGGATCGAACCCGTGCTGCATGCATTCCAGGCAAGCGCGCTACCGCTTGAGCCACATCTCCAGCCCCACCACCAGTTTTTTTAAAGAAAGCTCTTTTCTTTTCCCATAAGGACTCTCCACCGCAAGATAGTATGGCTCTGACCTCGAATTTGAAGAAACAATCACAACTGAAAGAGGTAGCAGGGATCCCCCTGCAGAGTACCACTGTAGACAACTGGAGCCAGATCCAGAACTTTGAGGTGAAGCCGGATGATCTTCTCATCTGTACTTACCCTAAAGCAGGTGATTGTGGGGCAGGGCAACAGCAGAGACCTCACCCTGCTAAGTCAGAAAGGGCATCTCCACATAAGTCAGTATGCCCCAGGATGCAGGACGTGCTCCTTGTTGTTCTAGTAGGGGGCTTAGGCTTGGATACCTGGCATCCCTGGATTTCTAAAAGGGGCTGCAGCATAGCAGTGCTGGAGGCCCCACCTGCTGTGCTCGGCCATGCCCTGCTCTTGGGTGGTTGTGAGCTTTTCCTTTGCTGCTCCACTCCAAGTAAAACCCAAAGTCTGTCCCGCATGGACGTCCATCTCTCATGGCAAACAGGATCCTGGACCCAGAGGAGGTTGAAGCCAACAACAGACTCCATGTCCCTTCATCCTTTCCCTCAGGAAGCTTCAAGAAGATTATCTAAAAGTTTTCTGCKTCTTGTCTTTCTCTTCTGACTCTCAGGGACAACGTGGATTCAGGAAATTGTGGACATGATTGAACA